TGTTTCATTTTTCTGCAAATGGATCTCCAGTTTTGCCAGCACCATTTATTAAACAAACATTCTCTTCCCCATTTAATGGATTTGGGGCCTTTGCCAAAGATCAGCTGACTATAGGTCGATGGATCTATATCTGGGTTCTCAATTCTATTCCATTGGTGTATGTATCTGTCATTGAACCAATACCAGGCAGTTTTGATAACGTTTGTTTTGAAATAGCTCCTCTAATTTAGAATTACTGAGAAACACTTTCCTACATAATGTTTCTGTGGGACACTTCTAGGGTATTCACAGTCGCCTGTGAATACATGTATTCTCTCATCCTTCCTTAAAGGACAAACCTTCATTCCTGAGATGCAGCCCTGGTTTTTGGACAAACTACCTCATGATGTAACCATGTTCACAGGTGACTGCCTTCTTCTGATTTTGGCAATGATTCCTGATCTAGTTACATTATTGGTAAATAAAGTGCTCCCAGCAACTATGATAACACCTTCACCCAAATATATTTTTAGATTAAATTTTTGTTTTATTGCAAATAAGTGTAGATTGTATGCTTGCCAATGGTGTATAATATGGAGGTTATAGTAATGTTATCGTTAAAGAAAAAAAAAAAACTTACACAAGAGAGCATTTTGTCATAAACAAGCTACTTTTTAAAATTTTTTTTATTGTGCCTTCGGTACAAGCTTACAGACCAGAGTTTGTTTTACATTCAACATTTCATGTGGATTTGGTTTCACTCCCCAATTACCATCCCCAACCCTAACCCAATCTCTTCCCCTCCCTGCTCAGTAACCCCCACCCCGTGCCCCTCATAGTTATGTGTGTCCTGCATTTCCTCCTTGCCAATGTTGCCCCTCTGGTGCCCCATGGTCAATTGCTCCAACTGATGGATCTCTGTAGAGTATGTGCATGTGTCACCCTGGGTTGAGTGGTCTGTGTGTATATCTTATTTATTATTGGGCTAGCCCCTGGGATTGAGTTTTATTCCAGGCCCGAACTGTTATCACAGGGCCATAGTATTGGGGGTCCCACCAGAGTCCATCCAACCAGTACTTCTGGTCATTATTGTGTTTTTTAATTTTGTTCCATGTTTTTCCTCCTACTCTATCCAGGATCTCCAGATTTGATCCTTTCCAGAGTGCTTGGCATTGGTAGCTAGGCACCATCTAGTTCTGGTCTCAAGGGCCATCATGTCCTAGGACTGATTGCTTCCAAATGTCCTTGGGTGTTTTTTTTTTTTCCACTCTTCTTTGCTTCTGATGATAGGAGAACATTAGCTGTGTCTTAGATGGCCGTTTGAAAGCTTTTAAGACCCCAGTCGCTACTCATCAATGTAGGTTGTGGAACAAGATTATTAATGTATTTTATTGTGGCAATTGAGTCTGGGATCCCCCAGTACTATGGTCCTGAGTCAGAAGATCCATTGGATTTCTCTCCCACAGTGTCTGGCTGTTTGTGAGGGATTGTTCTCTGTCTATTTTCTGTTGTTTCTGTAAGGATTGCAAGTATTTTGTATCACTGGTATCTGTGCAAGATTAGCCTCAGCTGAACCTATCCTTAGTCTAGAGTATAATCCTGTGAACTGACCCCCATCTGATCTTCTCAGATGTTTATGTGTTTATCTGTAGCCTGGTGTTTGGTTAAAGTAATGTAGTATTGTGGATATATTGGTATTAGCCTCTGTCGTCTATATCTTATTCAGTGTCTTCCCTTTCCCAAATGTTATCATGGTCATAGACTCTTTCCATACCATCCCTCCCTTACCCACCTCAGTGTGTGGCCCCCAACTATCTGAAATTAATCCCTTCCCTCTCCTTCCCACCCCAGTAACCTACAAAGTGATTTCCCTTCCTTAAGCAAACCCTTCTTTGTCTTACAGTAATGGCTCATACAATATTTGTCCTGCGATTGACTTATTTCACTTAGCATGATGTCCTCCAGGCACATCCACGTTGTGAGATGATTCATGTATCCTTCATTGTTGTTTAATGTAGCATAATATTACATTGTGTGAATATATCATAATTTGGTTATCCATTCATCTGTTGATGGGCATTTAGGTTGTTTGCATCTCTTTCCTACAGTGAATTGTGCTGGGATGAACATAGGTGTGCATATGTCTGTTCGTGTTCTGCCTCTTACCTGTTTAGGATATATTCCTAGTAATGGAATTGCTGGGTCAAATGGTATTTCTATTTTTAGTTTTTTAAGGAAACGCCATGCCATTTGCCACAATGGCTGTACCATTTTACAATCCCATCAGCAGTGTATGAGAGTTCCAATCTCTCTGCAAATAAACAGGCTATTTTTAACTCCAATCATTGTGGTCATTGGAGACACTTGACAGTGTGAAAGAGAAAACAAACATTGAAGACTGGACTTCAGATTGATGGTGAGAAATCTTCCCAAATTACTCATCTTACAAAACATTATTTTATCTAAAACTGCAGAAGAATATAAAGTTCATCCCAGCATAGAATTTTCAGGTACTTTGCAGAATATGTTGATAAGTAGGTTGCCCAGACTTCTTTTTGAGGAGTGGCTGGTGGGTTTGAACCACCAGCTGGCAGTTCAAACCCCCCAGCCACTCCTCAGGAGGAAAACTGGGCAATCTACTTCGGTAGCAATATATTTCATCACAGAATCATCAAATCTTCCTTGAACAGCAAATGGAAACACAAATAGCTGGGGTATTACAAATACAGCTGATGAGGGTTATATATTTAGTACTGCAAATATTGATACTTTACAGAATAAATTTTACCCAATTCTAAGCAGAAAATTTGATAATTTTCAGAAAAATGGTATTTTAGTAATGATAAAAGGAAATGAATAGATTGAAATTCACCACAATTAGACACAGAAAACAGTAGGAGTAGAAGCAAGAATGCCCAGCCATATTAGAACAAACTTGGCCTTACATGTGCCACACCAGGTGTTTTGATAATACTCTTGTGAGAAGGAATTTGATGTTCAAAGTAGAACCATGTTTTATTCATGTCTCTTATTTTGCTTTTAATAATTTTCTCTTTATATA